AGGCTTCCTAAACTTGGTCAAACGTCAGAAAACATAAGCACGGTGTACTGGTCAAGAATTGGATTGAACACTTCCACCAAGCAAAATGAACCCTAATGGAGGACATGTGGCAAAAGTATAATGTTATGGCGTGTTTTTCAGAAGAGTCAGAGTTTCTGCGCTTTTCAGAATAACCTTGTTGCTAAACCACAAAATTACATTTATGCTTGCAATATTATCACATCAAGTTTTTTGCGAGCATCACGCACCATGTAATAACTTCGTATAGCATACCATTTACGATCGACACTACCTTGTAAATCACTGAGAAAGCTTGCTAAGGTTTGAGTAGGTGAAGTCTACTGCGTCATCAGCACCCAAGAGAACCCTCTTTTATGAACGAGGAATGCTTGAAGCGGGGGCAAAACATCGTAGTCAGGATAGAAAACAAGGAGGAGACCAGGAAAAAATATTCTAGCTGAGCACGTCGGACAGGTGATGGGAACCCATCTGCGGGGTATCTTCTAGAAAGGAGATCTCAATGCAAGTTCATATCCTGTTTACCAAAAAATCGGGAAAAATTGGTTTACTTGTGGAGACCCACCCGCAGTAGGCACGCAAAGTCAGCACACGGCAGTTCAAAAATTCATCACTCGGTAGTATGAGTGGACTGAGATGAGCGAATTTGTTCCGCAGCAATTTCAAGGCCGAAAAAAGAAGAAATATCTCAAATGCTTATCGTTAGAGTAAAAGGCGCAAACATTGTGCAAAAAAGTAATGTTTGAAAGTGTTCATCGCCAAGGAAGGATTCAGGCGCCCGTGAACACAAAGGTTGTGTATCAGTATTGCCATTCGTTTATATGGAAACCGTATTATAAGGAAAACAAAAAACATAAAAAAGGAATACAAATTCAAATTCCACCCAGAGCATTACACTACGGAATTTTGATTAGTTCTGTAAATATCTATCAATGTATCGATTTCAAATTTCAAAAACTACGTATTCACGAAGTGAGCAGAACTTGACTCCTGGTGGACTTTTGTTTATTCTGCCGAGCAAGGCAAAAAACTGCTTGAAGTGATGTAACACCCTACCCTAGTTCCAGCCGAAGGGACCTTCCATAAACGGATTATCGTATCATTCCCTGCGGAGAATAAACGGCCTGTACTTGAATCGTACTGTAAAGCAGACACGGCAGCACGATGACGATGCTCGTTTTCATCCCGTATAATGAAGGAGACCTGAATCATGTATCAGAACATTTCATAAGAAAATTTCAAACTCGATTAGGATTTCGAACCGGTAATTTTCTAAAATGTTAGACACTTTCGACGCACATTAGCATCGAAATAATCAGCCATCACCCAGAAAGAGACTTTAGGTATAGAAAATATTCAATTGCGTGCATTTCGCAAAACCATTCGAGGGTTATCGTGACTTCCTCAACATGAATCATGAGATTCCGATAGAAAACCAGTCTAGGTTGGAAAGGGAATCGAATAGATTAACTTTATTAACTGAATGATCTTTGCATCGAGAACTTTATTCAATGATTGGGTTGCGCAGAACGGCGCAAGAACTTGGTTTGCGTGTTATACGTAGAAGAGGTAACACAAGAATTTGGCGCGAAATTGAATTTGTTGCAAGAGACGCGATATTGGGGTCTCATCCAGTAAGGGGGGCATCAAGTGGCTGCCCTCACCCCCACCCCCCTAGACTGCCTACACTCCCCCTGGCGCACAGGTTTCTCGAAGTACGGGACCCCGTGAGCCAGGGGGAGTGAAGGCAGTCTAGGGGGTGGGGGTGAGGGCAGCCACTTGACGTTGCATCACAATGCCCCCCCCTTACTGGATGAGACCCCGATATTGTGCTATAGATTTGTGCTTCACATCCATCTCCGAGAAAGAGTGGAAGTACGAGCGCTCTAAGCTTTCTTGGGTCCGAGCCTTCGATAGTTAGGGGCGGTATCAATCCTTCCCCCCAGGGGATATATCCCCCTCCTCTGATTCAATCCTCTGGGGGGAAAGGGTTGCGTCATAGGACCTAGCATACCTCTGTGTTTCTACCTGCCAGACAGTTAGAGCAGCGCGACTACCCTCCACTGATGAAGCACTCTTTTCCCTGAGGGGTCGCGCTGCTCTAACTGTCTGGCAGGTAGAAACACAGAGGTATGCTAGGTCCTATGACGCAACCCTTTTTTGTCTCCCCAGAGGATTGAATCAGAGGAGGGGGATGCATTCCCCTGAGGGAAGGAATTGAATATGGCCCCAGGGAATGAGCATACCGTCTCAGACCTGCCTTGAGCCTCAGCTCACAACAACTGCAAAATGTGAAATGAGCAATGTGAATATGAAAATGCGTATTTGAAAGCACGATTACCTTCATCTTCGGTTTTCCACTCCCATTAATAGCCATTTCACATGTCTCACACAGTTACCGTATGAGATAGCGCATAGCAGCAAAATCCTGCAAATAATATAATAGAAAGACAGTTAAATCGCAAAGGCCGTACGGAAAATCAACAAGCACCCGCTAGCTCGAGTGAGCTATGGGTGTTAGCTGAAATTGAATGAGTTCTCGAAAGCCTTTTCAGATTCTGAAAACAACGTGGAGATAGTTGTACTACAAAAATGTGGCTCTCCTGTATGATCGGAAAGATGACCGAGTGAAATAACCTTGTGTAAGGCTGGTGTCAGAGTCCGCGATCCGTCGCAGGTTTCGCTGATTTTCGCGATTTGCGCGATTCACGCGACGGGTCACGGAAATCACAAGTGCCCGATCAATACTGCAAGGTGTTCTCCAATCCTGCCGCCACTTCTGCTTGATAGTGATGGCTGAATGACGACTGCTCATGATTCCACTTGTTTCATATTCAGTGTTTCAAATGTTCACACACTTGCAATTTTTGCGATCCGTCGCAGGTTTCGCGCAAATCGCGTGAATCGCGAAAATCGCGAAAATCAGCGAAACCTGCGACGGATCGCGGACTCTGACACCAGCCTTGAAGAATACTTTTCTGTGGTGGACGTCAACAGAATCCTTGGCGCGGTTGTGCCAAGAACAACATATTTTGCTTTAGATTTGTGTTTCCTCCTACTACTCTTTTTTAATTACAGATACGTGAGGATAAGAAGAAAACAAAACATGGACTGAGCTACCGATTCTGGAACACTAAAAGAACTTCTTTACTGAACCATATTTGACCATACAGACGAATCAAAGCCACTTCGCTTACTCTATACAAGCTTTTGCCGGTCCTCGATACCTCTTCTGCTCATACGTTATATTCACAAATTCAGTCTGGTCAAAATACGAGAACTCTGGAGCCTCACATTCTTTCGACCTTACAAGGGCGCTTCCGTAGTCCGCTGTTCGAAGTAACGATCGTTCTGATTAGATACGTATCGATCGTCGAACGTACGACACATTCGATCGTTACCTATCTACTGCTCCACACTAACAATCGGACTTTTTAACTACCGCGACGCGCAATCGCATGTTCTTTGTATTTGCACTGGTCATCGCGTCGCCTCTTCTATGCGACTGCGGCTTATGCGATGATAAGTGTCATTAAGATCGGACTATCAACTATAAAAGCGCCTCATAATGTTAGATGGAAGGTAGCGTTCGCGATAATATGATTCTAATGAAACTGGAGGGTAGAAGTACAAAGCATTGCGTCAGTGAAAGAAATCAAGAGGATCGTAAAAACGGGTGTGGGTACTTAGGACAGAACGCGACTTTTTCGCTCTTCGCAACGCGACATCGCGCGGCAGGCTGGCGCACCCGCAGCGAAAACAACTACGGTATGGAAGAACGCGCGATTGGAGCAGCTTTTTTGCATGCGTGAATTTGTAAGTTTCTGATTTACTTGCCCGCGCTCACACCCATTGTATTGATAAATGCGGTGAATCACTAATTCTGTCTCATTATTGAAAACGTTTTGTGACTTACACGATTCCGGGCGATGCCACTAAAATGGTGTTTTACGAATTATCGGTGAACGAGGGTTTAATAGTGTCGCTTGTGCTTGCATTTTGTGGGTTCATATTGTTGTATAGACTTCTGCATAAGGGTATATAGTCGATCCGAAAGTTGGGGTGGTGTGTTACCGGAAATGAGCCTTTGAGTAGTGTAGGGCTCCAAAGTGGGTAGGCCATTCCCCTGTGGTCTGACACACTCCAACTTTTGCCACACGGTGCGTGGTTTACCCACTCCGGAGTTTCACTCCCCTCCCCTAAGCTTAGTCGTAGGCGCTGTAGGTGAGAAAGCTTAGAAAAGCAGAAAGTATGCGTTAAACAGCACGAATGTGAAAAATGAGTGTCATATTCATGATCAGGGCCCCAAATAACCCCTATGCAGAAGTTTACAGTCGTCTCATCAAACGTCCATCAACCATTCCTCTTCCAGGTTCTCCAGAAGCTCTACCATCCATCTCTGCAAAAATAACCTACCTCCCTCTTCACTGCTAGTTAGCGGTCCACTTCTGGTTACCATTTCCTCGTTCATTATCAAATCCATGGCTATTAAGCTTCAAACTCCTTGTCGCAATCAAAGCCGACACAAATATCGTGCTCCAATCGCGCGTTCTTCCATACCGTAGTTGTTTTCGCTGCGGGTGCGCCAGCCTGCCGCGCGATGTCGCGTTGCGAAGAGCGAAAAAGTCGCGTTCTGTCCTAAGTACCCACACCCCGTAAAAAACCAAGAAGCCCGTTACTTTTACGTAGAAAGGTTAAAAAAAAACACGGAAAGAAGATAAGACGAAATGGTTTGACATGCATTTATATTTAATGTGCTGTCATACTTCGCGACTGCCTTGAACTAATTTGCAGTCCGAGTGCAGAGCACATGCATATCGACCATGCGGCCGCATAAAATCCCATGAACGACGATAAGGTCGCTAAGTACGACCACACCCTTGGGAATGAGAGCGAACTACAGGGTGGTCCAAAATTATGAGGACCAAGACATTGTGTCGTTAAAAACGCATAGTAGCTTGATGGAACAAACCAACTTCTGGGAAGTATTTGTAACTCTTACCTCAAAGTAATTCCAGAATAGAATTGAGATCTGCCACTTGCCCCGTTAACACGAGCCTTCGGATGAAGGGGGATGGCGCGTGCGGTGGCACGCAACTAAGGCGTGTCCAAATGTTTCCAGGCCTTCTGCTCTGCCTTCTTCAGGGAATCAAACTTTTGTGGGCATTTATTTGCGCTTGCATCCAGGGTGTGAAATACAGAAATCTAGAGCTATTAGGTGGAGGTTCCATTGTAACAATTCTTCGAAAGCAACGAACTCGAAAAATCGCTTTTTAGAGAATTTTTGCTTTATTCTTGGGTGCTCGGTCCTGTAAGAAGTCCCAAGTAGACTACTCGTGTGGCTTTCTATCCACTACAGATGTGGAGTCTTTAGAGTGTCTGGCTGGGTTTTCACATCAATTTTTTCATTTTGGGTGTACGAAAGTCGACAAGGGGAGACCTAGTTTCTGCATCTGATAATTATCCTGGTGGTAACTGTAACTTTCGAGTCCCCGAATTTTCCATCTGTGGTGGTTCCAAACTTATTGAAGAGTTGAACTGTTGCTCATAAGAGCTTCTCTGATAGGTTAGACTGCTGCTAGATGTAACGTGCCAGAGCCCCTAGTGAGTTCAATTTGAGGACTGACTCAAAGTGAAGTAGTTATTTCACTAGTTTTGAGAACTTCATGAAATTTGGTTTCATTAGGAAGAAGACATTGTACCCTTCACATAGTGCACAGAAAACGAGATGAAAATGATACGGAAAAAAGTGGATATGACTGCGCGCGCACGCGGTCCTCATAATTTTGGACCACCCTGTATAAAGACATCATATGAAGCACGCTGTGATTATGGTAGTTTCCACATCTCCAACGGTGGACAGGCACGATTTAGGAAAGGGGGAGGGGAGGTTAACACATTGACGACAGCGCGGGGGATATATATCCCGCGCATTGCAGGCCACGTCGGACCGTGCGGGGATATGTCCCCCGCACCCATTCCATCATTTTTTTCGCAGATGCACGACTTCTTCCGAAGTTTTTTGTTTCTATTTTATAGATCGGATTGATATAACTATAAACGTTGTGGTCCATGGAATAGTTGAATATGCTTCAGTTTAACAAAGGTTTTCCAAAACTCGTGAACTTTTCAATTCAGCTCAAACTCACACTAACTCTTAAGAAAGAAGTAAAATTGTGAATGGCATTTGAATGTTTGGCCAAAACGTTGAGAACGATAAATTTGCCAAGTTGTAAGAAGTTCCAACTTTTATAGTAGAAAAGACGTATACGAACGCTCTTCAACCCGAGACAGGCGTTTACTCAATCGAAACTTCTGCTGGAAGAGCCACTTTGTTTGTGCTTTTATCATGTAAGCTAACTTACTTAGTCACCGCTCTCTAAAGTTGTTTATACGTTCGAGCTTCCAAAAACGGGCCTTGTTGGACCGTGCGGGGATATGTATACCGCGACAAATGCGGTCGCAAAATCGCGTCGGTCCCACATGGCCAAAAACACCAAAACTCGCATTGTCGTCAACGTGTTAATGAGTTAATTTTCGGCACCTAATCAGAACGGAAGCAAAAGCGTCATCTGCTTCCTTCGAAAGATACCCTTTGTTCTTTGAATCTTTCCCTTTCCTTCAGCAGTTGATTCATCGCGACCGTTGTCTTTGATGGGGAATGAAACGACACAACCTCTTTTGATTATTAACAAAAATAAAACCTCAGGCACGAAACATGTCATACAATTATTTCGTAAATTACCACGGTTTTATACCCTAATTTTTACCAGTGGTAATTTGAAGGCAGAAACCCGTTTCTTTCAATTCGAATATTATAATACAATAACTTTATTTTTCAGTTACCAATATTCCACGCTTCTCACCACACTGCAAAGTAATAACACAACAACTTCCAGCGAACATTCACTAAGTGATGCTGCTTTAGCGAGTGAGAAGAAAATTTACAAGGAAATGCTAACACATCATCCTCGCCACAGAACAACAATAAAAGATTTACTTGTAGAATAAGTTCTAGAACAAATAGTTCATTCGAACATAATAGGAGTATCAAGTATCAACGTGATGGACAATATGTGATCTTGCGGACTAAAGAGACTACACCCGGATTCGACATCCAGTGACGGAACGTCGATAATTAACAACACAAAATGAAATAAAAACAAACTTGCACTGGTACAACAACATCTACAACAACACAGAAAATATAACAATTTTTCTCGGATCTCGCATGAACACCACTCATTCAAGCAAAACTATCATCGCGATCAGCCATTGCTATACCGAGAGGGTCGTCGAATGCCTGAATTGTTAGAAATAAGCAGCGAAAAATAGAGCGATCGAAAATGCCCCTCTGAAAATCTGGGGGAAATCATAGATTAACATTAGAAAGGAAACCTTGAAGTTGTGGAAGTGAACCGGGCGGTGGTCTTCATGGTAGTATTCCTTCGGATTGGCAAGGCATACATCATATTTCATCGATTGTGCCCACCGCTGACCTGAATCAAGCATCAACTCGAATATAATCATGGGTAATTTCCTCGAAACTAGTAGAAAAGAAAAAATGCACATGTCAGAAGGGCCCTCGTTTAAATTGCTGAGGCTTGACCTCTAAGGAGCACATAAATATACCTTGGAAATTGTAATTCCAAACGCCAGCACTTGGAACCATAAAGTAGCCAAGGAATCTATCCGACAACAGCATTTGCACCTTTTCATAATGAGTCGGCATGTAACCCTGTGATGAAAATAAAATTTTCCATCTGAATAGAGAGAAAAGCAGAAAGAAATCAACCAGGAAAACATTGATGAGAATATTCTGGAATTTAAAATCACCTTTGGATTGTTTCCTCGGTCGGTATTTGAGCGACCCCACTCATAGCCTGACGGCGTAAGCTTGTAGGCTGTCAGTGACACGGATCCAGGAGTGAAACTACAAATTATGGCGAGTTGTAATTCCAAGAAATTTTATTGGATTTTCTGTATTGAGCCAATGAATATTTCATCTAATACGTTGTTAAAACGTCTCCTTCAAGTTTTCAAACATATTTGCAGGTAACAAGTAGTCACATTAGTCAATAATATATTGACCGATATCAAAAGTATACATGGTCAAGCAAAGCTATATGCCCCGCGCGGGAACCGAAGAGGTGGAGGTACGATTCCCGACAGGGCAAGTGTTCTGCTCTTTTGCAAAGCTCCTTTGCGGTTAAATTCGCAGGGTGGACTGGGTTCAAGAAGATTAAGTAAAGATCGAAAACAATACATTTACCGACTGTCAGCACTATCCCATGGCTGAAGAACTTTTGGCGATACAACTGCGTCAAATGGGATGTGTCTAACAGCATAGGGACAACGAATTTATAGTCAACCCTGACAACCGAACGAACCAAATTAATAAGGGTGGTCGCCTATGTCCAATTTCACTCGATCGTGCTGGATTCAAGTTTTTAATTTTTGATTTTCACGGCGAAACGTGTGACAGCAAAGTTACGCAAGTGCCATGGACGATGCAGTGTTACTCTTACGCTCACTTATCGGTTGATGAGAAGTATCAACGATTCCATTCGACAATAATGTCGTCGCTTTTCCACTTACGAGCTCCTATCCTTATCCAAGCATTTACTCTGCCAGTGCTTCAGAAACAGGCCATTAGACAGAACACATTTCCCAAACAATAGGTCTGACTCGAGTCAAGGTGAATCACGCTCTCCCATTTTGGTCACATGAGACAAGATAACCGCACCAATTTACATTCCAAATAGCAGCACTTCTACTCTGAACCTGAACTTGGCACCCTGTGCCGCCAATATTTGTCACAAATAGTAGGCGAAAAGTGCTAAACTTTGTTGAAAGGCGAACGGAAAATCATTAATTTTCCCTCAGCACTGGTGACTCAAACAAAAGAAAATTGAGAAACTCCATAAACATCGTAAGAGATGAAGTAGTTTCCCTTGATACGTGGACTGAAGAATGCCAAATAAAAAACTAACCATGAGTAACCAACTATTATTACCTGCAAGTTATGATTACAGTTTTCTCCCCGTCCCAACTTGCGTTTTCAGACAATATTCGAGCATGGGCGGTCACGTCTTGAGGCGATAACTGTGGCAGCTCATTTGGTTGAGTGTGCATCCTGTGAATATCGCTTTTTTGAAAGTAAAATTGTACATAACAAAAGAACCCTAATAAATGGGAAATAACAATAAAAAAATATAAATAAAACGAATACAACTCACCATCCGAGTGGCTCCAAGTCCTTTAGCAACTCATGCTGTGGAAGATGAGAAGGAAATTGCACTTGTTGATGGTTTCCTGTTTGAGGCACCAATACAACACATCGGATTTCCTTAACCTGCGGATTGTCAGCAGGTGAAACACCGTATAGGAAGCCGCCAATCTAAAACATATAAATCAAATCGGAGTAGTATAGTAAATAGGAGTGTAGTAAATCAAAAAGAAGTCATCGGCAGTCAAAAAAACCAAGAATATTGCGCGTTTTCCTGGGCTGCCCCTTCCACTTCAATGAAAAAAATCGAAACTACACTCCACTTGTATACCCTTTTTGACGCCTTGTTCTACGAGTCCTCTGACGTATCAATCATACTCTAGACGTGAACATGATCTATCAAATGCTCATACTAGCCGTTCTGTTAAATTTTATTCCATATACACCTCTAGATTGAACCAAATACACTATCCCTTACGACGCACGATCTTGATGCTCTCGGCAAGCTTTAAGCAGCTGGTAAGTGAAAATAACCTATAAAGCCACAACTATGTAACTTGTTTCTTGAAATGCTGACCTGTGTTCTGAGATCCGATATAGTGATAAACTTCTTAAGAACATTCTTTGGAAGAATGTATGTGAATCCTGTATCCTTGACATCATCAGAGCTCACATAAATATGTTGCGTTCTAAATTAAATAACTACAAACTACTAAAAGAATCACGGACTTCTTCCAAGGTATCTACATGTCAAATATCGCTATGCAAACAAATCTATCTACCTCAAATGCAGATTCGTGGCGGAAATGGCGCGAATCCTCCACTCTGTACGACTGGCGAACGTAGCAGCTTCATAATTGGAGGTCGTCGCAGTGATTATTTCGTCTCCGTGCTTGTTAACCGTACGAGTAGTCGTGGCCGTAACCTTGAAACAGTAGAACCGCAATACTCCCTCTACTGAATGAGTGGGGACGAAGCATTGAAAAATATGCAAGTAGGCGCAAGAACAATTCGACTCCATTCATGAGTTGAATCACACGTTTTGCGCCAGTGATAAACAGATGTTGGTCGGATCTTCAAGAGTTAAAGAAAACACGATTGACATCAGCATACTTGAGAAAACTATGGTCCGCAAAGAGCATGTTCGTGTGATATGATCGCAGCGAGTACTATAACAATTTAGAGCAAATCAACCCCTATCCGTTTGCCTCCACATTGCTCTTCACATCTAACTAGAGTTATTCTTCGGTCTGAGTGTTTTACGTGACACACTCAGACCATTGAGTAAACTACTAGTGATGCTGTGAAAAAAAAGTTCCAAAATGCAACCCATACGCATATTAAATGAAAAACTGAAGAGGAAAAAACAAAAATAATAGACGAAATGAGAGCTGGAATTACGCATTCATGAACTTTACCTGACTCTGCTCCTTCGTTTGCTTCTCAATGTCGGCAATTTGCTGTCTTTGTTGACTTGGGGCAGATATTTCCATACCAAGGATGATGTCTCTTACTTCAGACTGCGTCAAGGACGCGACGTTTACATTGTTCTTTTTACCGTAATCAGCCAAAATCATGTCTTTGAGAGCCAACTCAACCTAAACATAGTAAAAACTGAACGATGCCCGCCTACACAACAATAAGAATTCACTTCAAGGATCGAAGAAATTATGCATGATAGCACCGTTCGTACCGCAACAGGTCATGAGTCATACCTTAATCCACTCCTCATCAATTAGTGAAGGCCAGATGTGGTGAGGCTCAGTGATTGTTGTTTTGTCCGGCTTCAAAATCACCTGAACGCAAGAAAATTTGATCGTACAAATCTTATGAACAAAATCAGCTCGATAGGAACAACTTCTGAATCACCTTTGTTTTGTCAGGATTGATGTGCATACCACGCATTATCAAAATAACTCGAGAAAATGCTGTATAACTTGATATAGTCTGAAATCAACGTTCACGAGATAAAGCGTATGAAAAGAAGTCGACCTTTACGCAAAAACAAGGTGAGCAAAGAGTTAAAATCAGGTTTGCAAATGAACCAAACAGTTTTATTAGACAAAACATTTACCTTGAGCCAATCGTCGTATAGATTGAAAAGAACCATTTGAGGCTCGGTTGCCTTCAGAATCAAGTCACCAAACTTCTCGACCTAAACATATTACGTCAGCCTGCGAACAGGAAATTTCAAAGTTATAAGTGATCAGAATCAATGTGCACTCATATAATAGAACTGTGCTTCTATAGGACAAAGCACCGCTCTGTTCAATGAACGCTTACTCTCTACGAGATGTCTCAAGCAACCGAACAATGTTGTGAACGGCGCAGACTTGACCCTCGATATTCAAACTTTCATCAGAAAGAAACCTAATGATACTATCTAATTGGTCACCGTTTACAGAGTCGAGAAACTTGAAGTTTATCAGCAGTTTAAAGAAGCTTCTTCTCAAGACAGTGCGCTAGTGTCCTCACAGATCTCACCACAAATTTACAGCTAATTTCACAACTTCACAGACAACCTTAGATTGTGCCCCTGCATTAGCACCCTACACATAACATTTGACGTATTCGCCACAACTGCCATATGTGAAGTGAAAATTACAAATAAAGTATGAAGGGAATAGGCTGCGTAGTCAGACAAAACTGGGAAAGGTTCGGAGTTACTCGCGAGCGAACAGCGCGCGCTGGTAGACGCGTAGTTGAGGTTACCGCACTAACACTGAACACTCCTGCTGACGCCATTATGACTGCGAGGGGTAGAGGAAGACTCTGCGATGGTGAAGCTCGCATCATTACCTACAAGTGCACCGCCACCGTGCTTGTATCTGATCGTCACCTTCACTCTTTATGAAAAGAAGGATGATGGGCGCACGTGATACAAACCATGCCCATTTTCATTAGCGGTTGACAAAAAAAAACTCCAAACCTTCATGATTGCTTGGAATGGCAACATCAACTCCGATCCCTTGATCACAATGTTTGGGAAATCGAGAAGATGAACCTGCAACGAAGATTATTTATTAAGGGAAAGCGGATTCCTGCTACACCTATATGAACCACTCACCTCAAGAGGATCAAGCATAGCCTTTCGAGTTACAATGATTTGACGAGGTTGTTCTTCAACCGGTAATGATCTGATCAGAGCAGCGACTTCCTCTGCAGTCTTCCACTTGGCAAGCTGGAATCATTTCCGAATAGTTTTGAAGACGAAAACATTGAAAAAAAAAAAGATGAGAGGGGATGGGGGTATCAGGGTTGTGAGCACAATGGGTTGAAATTGAGCGAAAATGTGCGCGATGTCAACGCTAAGTAGTGATCTCATAATGCCTTTTGTGTTCAAATATCCGTCAGAATCGGCGATTGTGAGAGCGACGGACAAGCGATGGGCTACCGCGATCGCCCATCGCTCGTCCGCCGCGCGATTGGCAAGCGACGGACGAGCGATGGGCTATCGCGATCGTCCATCGCCTTCACAAATCCGTCGACGTGTATGTAACATCTTTAGCACCATCACCAACAACCTGGACTCCATTAGCGGACTCTTCTTCTGTTCTATATTTATCGAAAGACATAAAAACAGGTGTGACGAAGAAGGCAGTTTAGCAATCTACAAAAAAAAAAACGCAAAGCATGAAAATTCATCACCTGACTGAGACGTTTTCTGGCCTGCCCACACAGAAGTGCATGAATAATTCGTATAGCAGTAGTGCGGGGATTGAAGATAAAAATGGCACCATTAATAGGTTTCGTCGTCAAGTTACCTTCGAATGTTTTGTGAATGGTCACACGATATACTATATCCAAACTGATACATAAGCTCCAACGAATGATTTACAACAAAGATTACATTGGGCGGGGTAATATCCCAAAAAACTCACACAAATGAATCTGTTTGAGGAACAATCTCCAGAGTTCGACTATAATATTATTCCTCGGGTTGGTTCTGAACTATACAACTGCAGCCCTTTCCGGATACGCTCACGCAGTACGTAAAAGGCTGGGTTAGCCTTGATGATCTTTGCCATGGCTTGCCGAATCAGGGGTTTCATTCCAGGGAACCAATTTCCATACGCACTGAATTGAGTTCTGATAGATTCACACAAAGTTCAATCGTACTAACAAACAACCAGAATCACTTACAGGTGTATGCAGATCCATCCAAAAACAAGGATAGCATGGACATGTTTGTCGGGTGGTGTATCGAGGAATTCGCCCTTAATTTTTCATACTGTGGACAAATCTATTCCTGTCCTCAAGAAGCACCTTGCATATCTTTCAATGTCATGAGAGTCGTAGTCTCCCCAACGAAGCTGCACGTCAATCCAGTACTTCTGTGTAGTTGTACTGTCCACTCTGAAAATAACTCCCCATATCACGAACATAATAAAATTCCACAACCCTTTTAAAAGAGAGAGATAGATCCTCACTTGCTGTCAGCCATCAACGACGGACGAGAAACGTTCCATTTGTATTGGGCAAACAATTGGATGTCAGCACAAGAGCTGTTCATTTATAAATTTGTCTCCTTTTGCACCGTTTGAATCTCGAGTGCGTCCAATTCTTGATCGAAAACCTAAAATAGTGGATGCAGACTCGAATGTAAACTTTGATACGAAAGATGTCAAATTGTTGATAATGCTTGTCGTAATGCAAACATTTACTCTTGTCTCGCAACATTTATTACCTGGCACAAATCCATAACCACAGATTCATGAATTTTCTGCCACAAGTGAGCACGGAATATTTGTATGAGAGAAATCTTCAGCGTCGGAATCTTTCCGTGCATGAAAATGCCGGTAAGATCCAGCTGCACTTGGAAGCCAACTATACCTTAACCATAGAAATAAGTCCTCAACACGGTCAGACAAATTGAACGTCCTAAAAAATGCTCGATTATTAACCAATGTGAAACGACGATTAGGAATTTGATTCAAACCAGATCGTTGAGCATTAGTCAATTTCTTGAATTTCATTGACTCTTCGAAACCAGACGCTCGCTCCCAGAACAAACCTTCCCATGTTGGGAAGTAGGTACCCTAAACGATTGTATTCTCCAGGATCGATAACGTGATTTTGGCGGCAACTCACTCTGAACAAAGTGTGCTCCAGAATTCCTTCAACACCACCCAAAGCTTGGATCATATCGGTACGGTAGTTATTCAAGTTCCACAATTTTCCATCGTGTCGCTGGTGAGTCCACCAGAAAGGGTTCTGCTTCAGAATCTGAATCAGCAACTCTTGCATCAACCCATACATCACATCTAATCTGCGGTAGTGATAACTAGTGTTCAAAATTGTCTCGTTACAAAAATCTAGCAGAGACAAGCTTGGACGTTACCAGATCTTCTCTTGTATTACTGATTGTTTAGCTTTCTATAAGAATTAGCTCCACACTTCTTTTACAACACCACATTCTCACCTGATATGCCTTGAACTCAGTTCTCACGCGCCATCCCTTATCATAGGCGAGAGTATGCCTATCTTTCTGGAAGAGCGTATTGATACGAGGGATACCACGATCCCACGAATCGTCAAGGTCCTCCAATGTCAAACGACGATTTTGAGCGTTTGCTTCCTGACGCTTCAAAGCGTATTCTGCCCATACACGCTGCGAGTCAATGAACTCGGCTTCCCATGGCTGAAACAATTGTAGGAAAGCCTATACAACAATCTTTCGCAAAATGCAGAACTTGGGAAACTCAAACCTGAATGTATCGATACAGATTGGGGATCAGCTGGTCCTCATCATGGGTCATTCCTGAACGGAAGTGGGTGATACCTCCAGCGTCAGTCTGCTGCATCCAACGCAGATCACTCTGGGGAATCAGCACGTGGCCCATAGAAAGCATACCTTAGAAGGCCACCATTATGAAGGAGAATTTCATAATTAGGTATACAAAAATGATCACCTAGGCCACCAATTTCCTTTGGCGTGTAGAACACCACCGGCGGGAATCTTGCTGGCATTTTAGAGTTTAGCCCAATCTTAATCCTAGTTTGAATTTTATTTTCACATTTCCACCAAGAGATCCAGGAGTTCCTGAGTGTTGACCACAGCCTCTCTGAAAATGCAGATTGAATTTCTGGGAGAAGATATGATCAATTCTATCCTCACCTATAATAAGTCATGAGGCCAATAAGGGCAGTGTTCCACTTGTTGACAATTTTCGTGAAAGTTGTTGACCCAGATGACATAAGAATTTGTCTGATTCTATTGTGGAACTTTGACATGGACTCTTCATCGACTTTCAAGAAACACTGCGCTGTACGCTCCTTAGTGACCTATAAAAAGGGATCAACCAATAAAGGCAGGCTCTTCTCTTCACGCCTAAGAAGAATGTAAGAATTGAATGCTTTCTTCTTAATTGTCCTTCTTTCGAATAGCCTAACTTCCCAATTAATAGATAGATCCAAGTAAATAAATAAATAGATGAATAAATAGTGTCAAAAACACACTTCATTCTGCAGATTCCACACTCCGTCGCGGTGAGTGATCTCCTCGGCGGTTGTACGGCATTTTGGTAGGATACGGCATTCGAATCCAGCCATGTCGAAAAGCAGATTCGGATTATCCTTGCTGTATACCGACACGAAAGCGTTTTCCCACTCAATTGTAGTCACCGATCGAGGTAGCCGGTTCTAGAGCATTACACTGCGAACAAATCAGCCACATAGATAGTCCATTTCGAACCCACCTTAATATCCCAGAAGACAGCTCTGCCTAAGTTCACATCGTGTTTCATCAATCGCATTCTAGCATCTCGTGGCCAGCACTTCTTATTGTTGTACCCAACAATGTTCTCGTTGTTCGGGTCTGGATGTTCAGTAAGATATCTTTGAATGAGATCGCGCGCTTCGTCAGCAGTGAACCTGAAGCACGAGATGATTTCATCAAGTTCCGGAAACAATAGTGTTCAAGTGGCGTTACCCTACCTGAACATTATCCAGATCCTATCAATGTATCGACAGTAAAGACGAATAGGATGCACTGTTTCGGTAGCAATATCCTGGAAAATAACACTTTTGAATCTATAGAAAAAACAGCAAGAAAAGACCCTCACATATTGCAACTGTTCAAATGTCAAATGTCAAATGTAAACAGACCTGGAACGTGAGAAACTCGTTGGGGCACTGCGGTGGACCTGCGATTTCAGAAGCCCGGCGAAGACCAAGAATGAGGAGATCCAAGACTAGACCGTAGTACTGAATTGAACAACAATGACTTCAACAAGGAGAGGACTGAACAACACCAGGCTCTTGTGGCTAGCTAACCACGACACTCCTTCCATCCCATCTGTACCATAAAATCTACCGGATGAAAGACATACCTGCACAATAAACGACGCAAACTGCAGACCACGAATGATTCCAAACGAATTTGTATGGTTCATGTCTTTGTAGTTGATCAAAACATTATTTTTAGAAGACATGTAGTCAGCAATATTGTGATCCACGATTAATCTTCAATGTCACTAATTTGATTGGTAAGCACAACGATAAAAACTGTCAGACACTACAAACCTACCTCAGCAATCTATTGAGAAGTGTGAGGTCCATTTTTTCTGCAACTTTCTCAAGCTTTGCCTCCATCATAACATTACATTCTCCTGTAACAATTCAAATAAACCTTCCCTGTGTGAATTCCCGTAGCTTCTATGACTGACCCTCTCCAGTTTCCCAAACATCTTGCAGATTGTTGATTCCTTGACACCACTTGTAAACCAACAGTGGAGGTGGTTCGGTATCTCCAGGCTTTACCCATGATGGGAACAATCTTGAAGAAAAAAATAAGAACATCTCACAAAAATATGCAGACGAAACATAAAGTCGCGCACTTAACATTAAGGAACACAACAGTTCGCATACTTTTTAGCTTTCCAGTAACATGCTGATAAAGACTGAACTACTTCTACACATCTACACATCAAACATATTATTTTTTGCAGAAATACTACGCTCTTTTCGCTTGCACCGACTCTTTTTGGTCAGCATTGGCTTTCTGACGGGCTTTATCCTTAGGAACAAACTACACACTGTGTTTACCAGACAACAAGTGATAGGTAAATCCTGCACAAGCTATACCGAGAGCACAAACTTGCCAAGCGGACCTATTTATGGGAACTGGTTATCATAATTTACTTTACCAAGTGATTTGTTGCACACGCGTTGCATGAGCTTACCCAAAAAGGCTATATAGCAACAAGCGGGCGGGTGGCCCATGAACTAAAAGGGAATAAACTGATTAAAAAATCAGTCGCCGGTGCAAATGAGCAGAAGCATAGAATCATTTTATTCTATCTTTGGACATTGCTTGAATTTTTAAAATCAGGAAAGATTAATCGCACTGTTCCCTTCGTTTCATTGTTTAGTGGACAAATTCTTGCTCAGAATGGTGG